TGACTATTATGAATGCTGCTGCTATGAAAACTCACATAAAAATTTTTATGTGGAAACGTATTTTCAATTTTTTTGGATACATACCAAGGCGTGGAATTGGTGAAGGTATATGGTAACTTTAATTTTTTGAGTGTTTTCCAAAGTTGTCATATTATTTACATTCCACCAGCAATATAATAGTATTCTAATTTCTCCACATCCTCACCAACACTTACTATTATCTATCTTTTTTATTATAGTCAGGAAGATAACCTTTGAGCCAAGATTTGAAGGCACTGTGGGAGTAAATCATGGAGAACAGACTTCCAGGCAGAGGAACTGGCCTGCCCGAGCAAAACCCAGGAGACCAGAGTGTGCCTGATGTGTTCCAGGAACAGCAAGATGGACAGTGGAACTAGAGAAGTGTGATTGAGAGGACAAGTAGCATGGGATGAGGTGAGAGAGCCAAGAGAAGGCGGTGACCAAATACAAGTAGTTGAAAGGACTTTGGTGTTTACTTTGAAAGAAGTGGAATGTAACTGAAGGGGTTTAGCACAGAAAGGTGGCATGATTTGACCTGCATTATAAAAAAGTATCACTCTGACTGCTGAATTATATGTGGGCAAGGGTGGAATCAGGAGAACAAAAAGAAAATTGTGTTTTGTTTTTTTTTTGCAACAATGGCAACATGCAAAGGTGGCTGGTATCAGGGAGGTGGTGAGAAGCAGTTGAATTCTGCATGTGTTTTAAGCAACGAGATTTCCTGACAGACTGAGAGTGGAATATGAAAAAGGAAGGAGTCAAGCAGGACTTCATGGTTTGTGGTTCACTTATTTTTACTTCAAGATATATCAGGAAGTGTATTGAAATTCATTTCTTCACTATTAGATCAAACCCAAAGTTCTTAATTAAGGCAATCTCACATGTTTAAAAATATTAATCATGATAATAATAATAATACTCAAAACCTATTAAACATCAGGTTCTTTAATCCAGTGATCTCATGAGGCAGGTATTCTTTTTCTCAATTTATATATGTGTAAACAAAATCGTGATGAATTACTGGCAGCTCCCCTAAATTTGGTCCCTGCTTCCAACATAGGATCAACCAGAGAAAGTCAAATATGCACCCCCTAATCAATCACCTGGGATGTCCCAATCAGGGTGTATCCAACCTTCCCTTTTTTCCATTCTAAAGCTTTCACACTCCTCTGTCTGCCTTTGAGTCTCTGCCAAAATGCAAGTGATGGATTCCTTTGCTATTGCAAGCTCTGAATAAATAGCCTCTGCTTGTTCTCATTTGACTTGTCTTTGTTTATTTCCACAAGTGTCTTAGGTTATGTTGCCTGGGAAAAGACTCTGAGAGAAAGACTTGCACACAGGTTTATTGGGGGACACTCACAGGGTGGACTCCTGTGGAGGGGATGGTAGGAGCAGAATTGGGCAGATGGACATTAAATGTGATACAATTATACTAGAGACCTCTGCTGACCCCACGGGGAGCTCTGAGGCTAGGATGGCCCTTTGAAAAAGGTACCCTGGGTTAGGCATTGAAGGCAGACCACCTTAGAGAAGGAGAGGAACCTTAGGTGAGACAACCTTCTTTGACTAAGACCAAGTCCAAGGTAGGGTCTTAGCTATAAACTCTCAGCAGATGGGGAATGGTTGCTTGGATCTCCTTCCAGGGAGAGAGATTAGCTGACCCCATCCAAACACAGTTGACAGTGGATCATGTCTTGAATCCAACTTTAAAAATAAGTTCAAAGCTCCTTTCACTTCAGCATAGCTGTCTTCACCTAAAAACATGACAAATGGAGATTTTGTGAAACTCATGTTCTTTCCTCTGTCCAAAACCAAAACCATATTTGTGCAGTGATTCAGACATTTTTAGCAAATGATTTAAAGTACAGCGGTTGGCCCAATTGAATACAGCATTAAAATATCTGAAATAAAACCCAACGTGACCAACCCGAAGCAGTTAGCTGAATCACCACATGTAGACATTCATACCCTTTTAATATTTCAATACTTTGCTAAATGTTTCCCTTTCTCAATAAAATACTGTGAATTCCAGCTTTCCAGCTTGAGATGCTGACAAATTGAAAACAAATTGATGTGAAAATATTACCATTCCCACTTCAAAGATATTCATCCCCCAGGGAAAAGTATTCAATTAAGTCAAAATCCTAATCAAATATGTCTTGGAAGTTAGTGAAATATTAATTTGTTCTTTAAAACAATCTAATTCTCTAACTTACTTTGTCATTAGTGTTATGTGATTATCACAAGATTTTAAGCTTTATTAAACTCATTACTTCTTTTTGAGATTTACAGGTAAATCAGCCAGTACTGTTTCTAGATATGGGAACTTACCTGAAGATTATAAAAAACATTCACCAAGTTCTATCTATAAATTTGTCTGAATAGTCCTTGTATCTGTAAACAAGATGATAACTGTGATTTTTAAAGATCTGTCAGCATATTCTCTCACTATCACAAGATCTTTTGAATATATTAGTCATTGCTCCCAGAGCTTTTGGCTTTTTACCCATGTGTCCTGGAAATTCTTTTGCACTCACCCTCTCACCCTGCTCTCAAAGAACCTTGATTAACCTTGTATGGGATCTCAGCTAATTTCTAATCCCAGGTATCTTTTGCCCACAGAACATGGTGTTCTAAAACTTTGAATTATAAGAATTGTTAGGGGAATCTATTAAAATAAAGGATATCAGAGATTCATTTCATATTTAAAGAATCAGAACTTCTGGAGGTGATACTCAGACAAATGTATAATTAAATGCCTCTTTTTGGAATTCTGTTAAATATCACAGCTTGAGAACCACTTGCAAACAAATTACACATTTCTAGCAACCGATATGCCTAGTTTTCTGCCTACAGAATATCGAGATAAAAGCGATGTTTGGAATCCATTCTTTTCAGCAGCTGCATACATAATGGCAATCTATGAAAGTAGAAGCAACAGGCTGGTCTTGGCCAACAGCGATCCATCTGTATAATAAGACCTATTAAAAATGATGACAATATAAATGCAAATAATAGGGGCTGATCTGAGAAAAATATCTGTAGAAGAAATTGGCATGGCCTAGTGATTGCTGGAACATAAAAGAAAGATAATAAAGGAGTTGAAAATTACTTCAAGGGTGTGGGAAGATGGAGGCGTCGGAAAAGTGGCTGCGATTGAAATTATTGAACAGATAAATATTAAATATAGCTCTGAGGTGAGGTGATAGGGAGACTGCAAAGATAAAAACCACATAGTTTAATTTACTTCAACAGGTATTTATAAACTACATACAAACTATGTGCACTGCATTTTCCTACAGTGTACCAAGGCATAGTTCCCAAATTTGGATTTTTATTTTTAAAAATAAAGTTCCTGAGCCAGGCACAGTGGCTCATGTCTGTAATACCAACACTTTGGGAGGCCGAGGTGGATGAATCACCTGAGGTCAGGAGTTTGAGACCAGCCTGGCCAACATGGTAAAACCCTGTCTCCACTAAAAATACAAAATTAGTTGGGCATGGTGATGTGCACCTGTAATCCCAGCTACTTGGGAGGCTGAGGCAGGAAAATCACTTGAACTTGGGAGGCGAAGGTTGCAGTGAGCCGAGATGGCACCATTGTACTCCATCCTGGGTAACAAGAGTGAAACTCTGCCTCTAAATAGATAAATAAATGAATAAACTTCCTGGATCCTGCATCAGCTCTACTGAATCCAAATATCTGGGAATGGGGGAAGTCTCTAATGTACAAAGCAATCAGTGCATTCAATCAATGGGCCCGCATTTGGGAATCACTATTCCAGACATAGTGTTTGTCTTTAAGGAATGTACAAACTGGTATGGTGAGCTCTATGCTGTATCAACTTCTAACTTTGTCTAATGCTCCTAGCTTCTAAATTTTACTAATGCTTTTTCTTTTCTTTAAGATGCTTTTTTGTCATCCCTGCCATAAAAATATTATCTATCCTTCAAAATCTAGTCAAATACGAGGGGAACTGGGACCATATTACATATCTCCCTTCCAACTTCACATCTATTACAAAACAAAATACCATAAAATCCACCCTCATAATGTCTGCTTCATTCATGGTCTTTGCATTTCCAGCCCCACCTTTTTAGCTCACCTGTACCACTGAATGGCCTTTTAACCACACTTGCACTCCAACTGCCCTCCTACTCTAATTTATCCTTTAATGGTTCTATTTAATATGATTCCTGCACATTTTAATTATAAGTGTTTTTTATATTAAAAATAAATGTTAGCATTTTCCCATTACCTACAAAATTAGGGATAAAACACTCTAGTCTGGCATTCAAAATTCTCCACTGTATCAGTTAGACTTCCTTTGATTGTAAGCAACAGAACCTGTCTGGCTAATTTAAGTAGAAAAATATATGGAATTGTTTACAAAATTGAAGGTCCAATAATTTCCATTTTTGTGTGTGATTTTTAAAAAAAATCTCATTTAAAGAGAGTGACTGATGCAACGTATTTCCAGCTCTTATTAATAGGAAGACAGGGAACACTGGCAGAAAGACTGCCTATAATTATGCTTGCTGGGAATAGTTCTTTCAAAGCAAAATTCGGGTGCTGTTATCAAAAGACGAAACAAATGTGAAGGAGAAAAGCCAAGAAATGCCAACTATCTCCAAAATAGGGCTCCAATTCAATTGAAGTAAAACTGGATACCATGGAGGGGAAAGAATTTTAAGCTTTCTTTTTTGAGACATCAGAGGTCAAAATGGAGACGATAACCATGGGAGATAATACTTTATCATCTCAACATACCCCATGTTGGGGGAGAAGAAAAGCTAATGGTTTGAAGAAAATGTTTTCAACAAAGTGTGGAATGATTCGAGAAGGCATTGTGACTCATGAGGCTAAAGATAAGCTGTTTACATTTTTGTATGTGACCAGTCAACTTCTGTATAATTACAGTGTTCTTTACAAAAACATTGTACAGTATTTTTTGAAAAATAAGTTAGCCAGCACACTACAGGAACAGCCAGAATTTTTACTGGGGAGAAAATTAGTAGGGTGACAGTAATTTCTGTATCTTTAGGAGGGTAACAAGTCTTCCACTTCCAAATTCAAGAAAGGCTCTATCACCTCCCGTAGGTGCCACACGGTGCAGCGCCCAAGCATTCTCAGAAGCGCCCTTTCAGAAACGTTTTTAGAAACATAGCATCAAAAAATAGTATGTAACATAAAACTCCAGTGACGATGAGGGCATGAAACATGATGAAAATCCTCAGTGCATGTTTCCTACAAAGAGAGAAAACGTGTGTTAAAAAAAATTCTGAAAATAATCACATTGATAGATTCCTGGCGCCTCCACCCCGGTAGCTCTATAACTTCAACTAAGTAATTGAGTTTCTCTTGACTTCAGTTTACGTTTGCAAAAGCAGTAGGTTGGAATGGAGGAGCACTTATTTCTGTCCATGGTAGGTCTGGCATTGGAATTTAAAGATTCTATAACCATGAAACAATAAAACCCCTGGATATTGTGGGGTTCTTTCCTTTGAAATGTCCTTTTCACATTCTAGCAGGTTATTGCAATCTTTACCTCACTGTTGAGGTAAATAATGCCTCTTCTGGGGCAAATAAAGGCCCAAGCAGTTAGATTTTCCCCAGGACATAAAGTATAATGTGATAAAAGGAATTGAGAGCTCTTTGTCCCTGGGTTTTGTCCTGGTACTAGACTTTTATTTACAATGTAATAGAAGCTTTTTTAAATCCTTGAGGACCCCTCCTTCTGGGTTGCATCTATGGAACCATATAAATATTTTATTTATATGATTCTAAGTCCTTGCATTACTATTTTCTAGTTATAAATGTGATACATGATTAGGGTAGAAAATCCAGAAGAACACAAAGAAGAAATGTCATAGATAATTCAAGTGCTGAGATAATTACCATCTCTAATACATCAGAAGAGAAAATCTAGAGCATAACGCAGGCCATAAATCAATTTTGTGACCTACCTCAATGAGTTTTAAACCCGAGCCAAGTTTCTTGCTATTATCCCCACTGTCTATCACTTGGCAGTTCCACACATAATTGCTTTCACTTCACACATTTATTAAAGAGTCAATGTTCTTAAGATACTCTGTTAGGAAGGGGCTTAGAGAGCTGATAACAGGAAGCAAATGTGTCCTGCCATCCAGGAGCACCAAAGGCAGATTTGTTCTTTCTTATGAGAAGAGAAACAACTCACTACAAAAACATATCTAGTAAATAAACACTGTTCCTCCTAAATTTAAAAACCAGTCATCTTTGGAAATACTAAACTATGACATTTTCAAAGAAACACATTTTAACATTAAGTTTTTGGAAAGTAAACAAATTTTCTAAATCAAAGATAATGTGGAAAACAGAGAAATGAAGAAACTATAATCTCATCACCCAAATATAACCAGATACATTTTTAATATTTTTTCCTTTCTTCCATTTATTCATTCATTCTTTTTGTCTTAGTTTTTAGTTTAATTTTTCCCTTTTGTTTATACTTGTCTAATTTTTTCTGTCCTGTGGTAAATACTCTTGGTACAGTTAAATTCATATTTATTTCTTGACAGGAATGAATCATTTGATTTTTATTTACAAAAATCAATACAATTAAAAAATTTAAAATTTCTATTACTAAGCATGGTGTTTATTTTAAAAGGTCCAGACATTTTTTTTCGGAAAAAATTATAGTTACTAAATTAAATTGAGGGTTTTCATATCACCTGTACAAAACCAAAAAATGTCTCACTAATAATTTTATTCATTTTAGGCTTATCTTCTGTAAAGAATAAAATATTCTTTTAACTTTTGAATACTATTTATTTTACTTTTCAAACCTTGCCATGTGTAAAACCTTTGATCTTTTCTAATATTTCCACGATATTTATGGTCAGTACATAGGGGATGACCATAAAGGGAACTGAAGGGCCAGCGGACATTATCAATAAAAGGCCACCTTGTGAAGCTAAAAATCAATTCATAATGATTGAATTAATCTATAAGACAAACTTCTTCAAGATGTTAGTATATAAATATGCTTCAGTTAAACCAATGTGTTTCCAGTTCTCTAACAAGAGATTGGGCAAAATTTCAGGCAATCTTAATTAGAATGTAATCATGTGAGAAAAAGATGAGCAACTCAACCTGATTATAATCCTCCCATATAAGATGATAAAGCAATAAGTGAAAGGCATTCAGCTATTTACTTATTTGTTTGGCCGGTTGGTTTTGAGTTATTAGTCACATACTGTAAAATTCACCTGACACATTGTACAATCCGGAGGCTTTTGGTTTATTCACAAGGCTGTACAATCATCATCACCACTATCTAATTCCAGGAAATTTTCATCACCCCGAAAAGAAACCCCATTCACTGAAGCAGTCGCTATCTCCCTATTCCCCAACACTCTGTGCCTGGCAACCATGAATCTACTTTTGATCTATTCGGATTTTCCTACTTTGAACATTCATAAAAATGGAATCATTTCAATATTCCTTTGTATGTGGCTTTCATTGGATGTAATGTTTTCTAAGATCATGTAGATATATCAGTACTTCATTCTTTTTTGCAGCTAAATAAATACTTCACTTGTGGCTACACCATATTTTGTTTTTCCATTCATCAGTTAATGGATATTTGTGGATTGTTTCTACTTTTTGGCTATTATGAATAATGCTGACACGAACATTTGTATACAGGCTTTTTGTGGACACACATCCTTAGTTCTTTTGAGTATATATCTAAGAGTATAATTGCTGAATCATGTGGTAATTCTATATTTAACTGTTTTAGAAACTGCCAAATTGTTTTCAAAAGTGGTTGTACCATTTTACAATCCCACTAGTGATATACGAGTTCCAATTTCTCCACATCCTCTTCAGTGCTAGTTATTGTCTGTCTTTTTTACTGTAGTCATCTTAGTGGATGTTAAGTGATATCTCACTGTGGTTCACTGTGGTTTTGATTTACATTTTTTTAATGCTGAACATCTTTTCTCGTGCTTGTTGACCATTTGTGTGTCTTCTTTGAAGAAATGTGTATCCAAGTCATTTGCCTATTTTTCAAACTGGGTTGTTTATCTTTTTGTTGTTGAGTGTCAGAGTTCTTTTTTTTTCCCGCAGTTGAAAAATGTTCTTAATGTTCTTGTGTTTGCATCATGGTTGTAAAAAAAAAAGGCAAACAATGCTAGTCACCACTCTGGTAAAAACATACGGTGTTCAAAGCTAAGCAGGATTACATCCTTTCGAGAGGTTTTATTCCAGGGATACAGAACCCCTTGGCCATGACAGCCTCTACTGCTTCACACAGCCGTGCACACCACATGTTCACCTTCAATACCTCTCCAGTCCTGCTGATCTTTCTCCACACAATAGCATAATAATAGAACTCTGTGAAAGCAGTTGCCAGCTAATATATAGAACAGCAAGAGTGTGCAGAAAGGAGTCATCTAAAATCTTTTGCAGTATCTCAGGAAATCATAAAATGCACCGGCCTTGTTTCCATTCCTCCTCATGGTACAAAATAATCTTGGTCTGTCAAGCAGTGTTTTGGAGCATCTCTTCATCAATATTGGCCATGTTTGCAGTAGACCTGGTTCTAGTGAAACCATGCAAAAAGTAAGCAGCTGTATTTCCTCGGTCATCTAGCATTTTGTCAAATGAGAAGATGTCAGTCAACCGGTTATGGGAAAGTTCAGTTTATTTAATACAGCCATAAGCAACAGATGTCTAAGAAGCCTTCAATTCCTCTGCAGTTAAGACCTTGTCTCTTACTTTTTCTTTCAATTTGTCCATGGATCATTATTGTCCTTACTCGAGGCCTATGAGATGAATTGTTTCATCTGAATATATATTAAACATCTTGTCTTCCCCTAGTATCACACTGAATCCAGCATGGGAGACTTGAGTTACTTTAGGGTCATACCAACCAATCATTTGAGCAGCAGAAAGTATTGTCTGGAAGTGTAGAGATTGTCCACTGTCCACCCATAGATAACCATATCTGCTTTTCCCTCAAATAGTATTTGTTCAAGAGCAGCCAGATCAGATGCATCATAGTTATAACCTCCATCTGATTTTTTTTTTTTCCGGAAACAGGTCTCACTCTGCTACCCAAGCTGGAGTGCAGTGGCATGATCTCAAGGCTCACTGCAGCCTTGGCTTCCCCGGCTCAAGTGATCCTCCCACCTCAATCTCCCAAGTAGCTAGTACTACAGGCATGTGTCAATTTTTTTTTTTTTTTTTTTGGTAGATACAAGATTTCGTCATGTTACCCAGGCTGGTCTGGAACTCCTGGGGCTCAAGTGATCCACTTGCCCCAGTCTCCCGAAGTGCTCGGATTACAGGCGTGAGCCACTGTACTCAGTCTCCATCTGATTTTACCATAGTTAATGCTATGGAAAATCCTGGGACCAACACAAACTTTCTGCCCTCATCCACTTGCACAGATCATCTATCATCAAATTCCTTTACATCATTCATCCTATCTTGATAGAAGGGATTCCCTCTATTCATTAAAGCGATGTCCAGAGCATCATAGATTTTACTAACCTCTTGGCAGGAGACATCACAGATAAACATCCAAGCTCTTATAATATCTAGGTTTTTACTCTGGAACAGAATGACACACTGATATGCTCATTTCTTAAACTCCTCTTCAGTATCAAATCTCTTAGATTACTTATAAAAGGCCTGAAGATTCCCAATAGAAGGTGAAGCTGTTAGAGAAGCTGGAAATTTATTTTGCAGGTGAGCAATATGCATGCCAAACTGGGTCCCCAGTCTCCTACATGGTTTAACTTGAGCACATCATATGCTGCAAATTCTAAGAGGTGGCATATGCTCTCTCCTATAATGGTTGACCTGTGGTAGCATCTCAGTATATGTCAAGTTCCAAAATTATGAAGACAAATTCATGCTTTTATGTACCTCTTGGAATATTAGGAGAAGACACATGTGAAAAATTTAATTTCAATAACATGCTATGGGCTCTCTGACAGGATTATGTGCAAGATGTGCACATAAACTTTTACAACTCAACAGCAAAAAATAAAAATAAAAAAACAGAAAAACAATTTTTTTTAATGGGCAAAGGACTTGATAGAAGACAGAGCTGAGATTCTACTTGGGTTGGGGGCTGGAGGTAAAGAATAAAAAATGTTTCCTTAGAGGAAATTATTGCTCAGAGTGTAAATGGTGGTGTGGCATCTCCTGAACAGGATCCAAAGAGCCAGCATTTTCTGGTCATGTGTTTCCAGTACTGTCCAAGGGGAAGGCATCCTGCCCAGCAAACAAAACTTTTCAAATTTCTTATTGGTTATGTTCTTTTGGTGGAGGCAGTTGCCTCATCATGTGTAGATACCATCTTTTAAGATTTTAAATAGAGAGAGATTTTAGAGACAGAGATACATATAGATATATAGAGATAAATCTATTTATATCTCTCTATACCTAAATCTCTGTCTATATATCTATAGAGATATAGAGAGAAACTTCTCCAAATTTGTAGCCATCATGGGAAGAAAATTTAAAATTAAAGTATTGACTTAATGTTGTTTGAAAGAGTCTTCAGGCAAAAAGGAACAGACTAACTAAAAATATAATTGACATTAGTAGCCACCCACAGGAGGTCTCTGATCATATATCTTTGGTCATATATCCTTAGATTTATCTAAAGCAATAAGAAAGCAATCTATATCTACATATTGAATGCAATAGATCTTTATCTAAATAAGAAAAATACTATGACTCCAATAACATATTGACTTTTAAAGAACATAGATAATTTACAAAAGAAAATAAAACATTTTGATCAACACTTGAAACAAAATCGGTCTCAGCAGAATCCATACATTTTGGGGCCTTCATCCAGTCCTGCATAGTCTGTTGTTCTGACTTGCCACACTGTAATGGGAGGAAGAGAGTTCTGTACTGAAAAGGATGCCGGGGCCTGAGGAAGCAGGGCCTCCATCTCCTCCATGTCTGTTTCTTCAGAACTGCGAAACTCAGTGTCCTCTGCCTCCATTTGATACATCCTCAGCTTTGCATTTAGCAGTTTCACATTCTTGCAAAATTCCTGAAAAAAAAAAAAGAGCAATCAAGTACAAGAACAGAAAATGAAATACCGCATATTCTCACTCATGGGTGGGTGATGAAAAATGAGAACACATGGATACAGGGAGGGGAGTACTAAACACTGGGCTGTATTGGGGGGAAGAGGGGAGGGCCAGCGGTGGGGGGGAGCTGGGGAGGGATAGCCTGGGGAGAAATGACAAATGTGGGTGAAGGGGAGAAAGGAAGCCAAAACACACTGCCATGTGTGTACCTATGCAACTGTCTTGCATGTTCTGCACATGTACCCCAAAACCTAAAATGCAATAAAAAATTTAAAAAAAAAATCTAAATGTCTCCAAGTCTTTCTATAGATAATGCAGAGTGCTTTTCCTCTGGATCACCTCAGGGACTCACATGAGAAATCACACATAGGAAAAGATCATTGGCAGGTGCACCTTGAATGGAAGGAGACTTACGCATTCACAGTGTAAGGTAGCACCACAGTAGAAAACTAAGCAAAATCCACATGCTAATTTTTAACCACTAGATTATTAATGTAGAAAGGTGTCCTTGTACTGAATTCCTCTACTCAATTTGTTCATCTTTGCAAAGTATATTTATTGGGTGAGTACTGCTACCAGCTTCTAAGATACAGTGTTAACAAAATAGACAAAGAATGCAATCTATTACAGGGGCTGGGGGCAAGTGATAAACACTAAACACATACATACATTCTATATTACATGTTAAGGTACATGCTAAAGAGAAAACAAATAGGGTGTGGGATCAGTGAGTGGCTGAGGTTTGGTGATGGGGTCATCTACTTGAGATAGGTGGGATGAGTCAGCCTCAGAGCAGCTGACGTTCATTCTTGAATGAAGATATACATGAAAAATGATACATTTATTCTTTCATTGTTTCATTCACCCAATCACATTTACCTCAATGTCTAAGATCTTGTGGGAGGAGTTCAAAGATGAAGTTATTTTTTGAGGTAAAGGAAATTAGGAGACGTCTTGATGAATAGATGACCTGTGAACTGAGCCTTGAAGAATGGGTAATGTGTAGACATGAAAGGCAAGCACCAGATAGTGGGATGAGAAGTAGAGGTAGCACAGGGTATGAGAGCTTGGGAGTACACTGGAACTGCAAATGTTCTGTTGGCCCAGCAGAAGGCCAGAGGGGAGGAAGAAGGCCATAAGACTAGAAACCATCATTCTCAGCAAACTAACACAGGAACAGAAAACCAAACACCACATCTTCTCACTCTTAAGTAGGAGTTGGACGATGAGAACATATGGACACAGGGAGGTGAACATCACATACCCAGGCCTGTCAGGGGTTGGGGGGCCAGGAGAGGGATAGTATTAGGAGAAATACCTAATGTAGATAACGGGTTGATGGGTGCAGCAAACCGCCATGGCACATGTATACCAATGTAGCAAACATACATGTTCTGCACATGTATCCCAGAACTTAAAGTATAATATTAATTTTAAAAATAAATAAAAATTTAAAAAAAGAAAGAGACCAGTATGTGTTGCACCATCACTCTAGGCAAAGAATGACCACTGTATTTAGATATAAATTATCTGATCTTACCATCGTTGGAATTGTGTAACTGAAATCTTACCTCCATTCTTTCCATGACCTTCTTCTTTGATTTATAAGTTTCATTACAAGCATTCACCTAAAAAGACATCCACAATTCTCAGTAAAGTGAAATTTATATTTTTCTGGTTTGTACAATAAAATCTCACTTATTCTGACAACCCTTATAAAGTGCTTCATCGAAATTTACTTTTACTCAGTAAACTTCTTTCTCTTAGAGCAAATTCATGGTGTAATTATAACTTGCAGACTGTAAGTGGATTAACAAGATTATTTTCAATACTTCAGAAGTATGCATTTATACAACAGCAGTTAATTAGAATGCATGCTTCCCTCTACTCATTACTCCTTCCTTGCTTCTTAAAAAACTTCTGCCAGGACACAAATTGAAGAAACATAGTTATGTTTCTGAGAAAATATTTCTTTTAAATATTTAAAATTTAAAAATTTGTGAATGTAAGTCTTCAGTATGTCAGATTGAATATTCAGGCCCAACAGCTTTGCAAAAGAGCTGTCCACAAAGAGATCTGGTTCTTTTTCTCTACTCATGTCTCCTACAGGTTGCCAGGTAGAGATAACAGATGGCTTTAGCTGGTTTCTGTCAGTAAGTACAAAACAGAGGCTAAAAGCAAACCATCACTTTCTAAGACATGAATGCCAGTTGTACGTGCATCACAAGTAAAGAATGCCTTTAAAGCTTTGAAATTAATCATACAGTAAGAGACATTCAGGATACCCTGAAAAGCAGAGCTATAGTAGGAAAAGGAGTATACTGGGATTCAAGAAAAATGAATTCTAAAGATGACACTTATAGAAATTGATTTTTTTTTTTTTTTGAAACAAGGTGTCACTCTGTCATCCAGGCTGGAGTGCAGTGGTGTGATCATGGCTCATTGCAGCCTCTGGTGATCCTCCCACTTCAGTCTCCTGAGTAGCTTGACTACGGGCATGTGCCACCATGCCCAGCTAGTTTTTTAAATTTTTTGTAATGATGGGGTCTCTTTCTTTTCTTTAACTTTTATTTTAGGTTTAGGGGTACATGTGAAGGTTTGTTACATAGGTAAATTTATGTCATGCGGTTTGCTATACAGATTATTTTATCACCCAGGAATTAAGCCCAGTAACCAACAGTTATTCTTTCTGCTCCTCTCCCTCCTCCCACCCTCTACCCTCAAATAGACCCCAGAGTCTGTTTCCTTCTTTGTGTTCATAAATTCTCATCATTTGGCTCCCACTTATAAGTGAGAAAATGTGGTATTTGATTTTCTGTTCTTGAGTTAGTTTGCTGAGAATAATGACCTCCAGCTCCATCCATGTTCCCACAAAAGACACAATCTCATTCTTTTTTATGGATGCACAGTATTCCATGGTGTATATGTATCACATTTTCTTTATCCAATCTGTCACGGATAGGATTTTAGGTTAATTCTATATCTTAGCTATTGTGAATAGTGCTGCAATGAACATTCATATTCATGTGTCTTTATGGTAGAATGATTTATATTCCTCTGGGTAGATACACAATAATGGGATTGCTGGGTTGAATGGTAGTTCTGCTTTTAGCTCTTCGAAGAATAACCACACTGCTTTCCACAATGGTTGAACTAATTTACACTCTCACCAACAATGTGTAAGTGTTCCCTTTTCTCCACAACCTCACCAACATCTATTATTTTTGGACTTTTTAATAATAGTGATTCTGACCAGTGTGTGAGATGATATCTCACTGTGGTTTTGATTTGCATTTCTCTAATAATCAGTGATCCTGAGCTTTTTTGCATGTTTCTTGGCCATACGTATGTCTTCTTTTGAAAAATGAAGACAGGGTTTCATCATGTTGCCCAGGCTGGTCTTGAACTCCTGAGCTCAAGCAACCCGCCTTGGCCTCCCAAAGTGCTAGGATTATAGACATGAGGCACCATGCCCAGCCTCAGAAATGCTTAAAGAAATACTTGCAAGAGCAATCAAAGGCATGGATTTTTGAGGCATAGTCTGTAATGGTAAACATTGATTATAAAGCCCCAAATATCCAACAAAATAAAATTAATAATTCAAAGATCAAGCCCTGCATTATATTGGAGTGAAAAAAAGTAAAATGACATCTACTAGCAGAGAAAATTGTTGAAGAAAAAATGCTAAGTGCTGAAGCAGTTGCAAAACAATACGTATAATATGATCCCATCAAAACAACAATGTGTAAATATATGTATAAAAATGGGAAGAATATAAATATACTGACATGTTCATTGTGTTTGTCTTTAAGGGAGGAGGATTAGTTTTCATTTTTATATGAAATCATTTTATAGTGTTTTGTTAAAATAAGCATGCCGCCAGCCATGGTGGCCCACGCCTGTCATCCCAGCACTTGGGAGGCCGAGGTAGATGGATTGCTTGAGGTTAGGAGTTCAAGACCACCCTGGCCAACATGGTGAAACCCCTTCTCTACAAAAAATACAAAAAAGTGAGCCAGCTGTGGTGGCGTGCCCCTGTAGTCCCAGCTACTGGGGAGACTGAGGTGCAAGGATCACTTGAACCTGGGAGGTGGAGGCTGCAGTGAGCTGAGATGGTGCCATTGATCTCTGGGCAACAGAATGAGACTCTCTATCTCACAAAAAAAAATTATATATATGTAATATATATACACATGCTTATATATATTAAAAAATTATATATGTAATATATATATACACACACACACACATACATATAATCAGCATGCCTTACTTCTTTTAGAAGAAAAAATACATGTGTACATGTTTGTGTGTGTGTGTGTGTGTGTGTGTGTGTGTGTGTGTGTGTGTGTATATATCTATAATGGGAAATAAGTGCAAGACCAGTTCTTTGCATCTGGAAATATGGGCAAGTCACTTCATCACTGCATCTCTTTGAGTCACACTTTTTATTTCTGAAAATGAGGGTACAGACTAAGCAACAGTAAGTTCCCTTCTGAATCTAAAATTCTGAGTACATCTTTCACTGAATTTTAGATTCCATTCCCTGAAATTCTCTAAATCTGAGATTTCTTTGAAGCACTGTTTTCTTCCTTAATTGTAAAACCATTTTGTCACTACCTTGTCAAATTTGTTATCCAATTCTTCTAATTGCTTTCTACATTTTCATGATGTCCCATTTAATAAAGGGAGTATAAAACAAAAATTGGGACCAGGTGTGGTGGCTCATGTTGGTAATCCCAGCACTTTGGGAAGCCAAGGCAGGAGAATGCTTGAATCCAGGAGTTTAAGACCAGACTGGGCAACATAGTGAGACCCCCAACCTCCACAAAAAATTAAAAATTGTTGGGCAGGGTGGCACACATCTGTAGTCCTGTCTACTTGGAAATCTAAGGTGGGAGGATTGCTTGAGTCTGGGTGTTCAAGACCAGCCTGGGCTGATGACATGATGACATGGTGAAAACCCATATGTACAAAAAAAAAAAAGTAAGTAAAGAAAAATTAGCTGGGTGTGGTGGTGTGTGCCTGCAGTCTCAGCTACTCAGAAGGCTGAGGTGGGAGGATCACCTCCTGGACCCAGGAGGTAAAGGCTTCAGTGAGTCATGATGGTGCCACTGCACTCCAGCCTGGGTGACAGAGTGAGACCCTGTCTCCAAAGAAAGAAAAGTCATAATGAATGATATGTGGAATTTAAACAAAACAAATGATTTTTAGGAGAAACGTCATTTATGATAGAAAATAAAGTTTGAGATTTAATAGAAGCTGGATTTTTTCCTTTCATAACTATCCTGGGTACCAGTCTCTAAAATCAACATTAATTACATCAACAAAATATTACTGACCACATCCTATGTAAGTGGCCCCTGAGCTAGGCATCATGCTAGTTGGATATAAGTAACAAAAATATTTATCCTTAAGTAGCTTATAGGTACTTGGAGGATGCACAGTATACCTATTTTTTTAACACATTTATTCATTACCAGTCCCTGAATTGGATGGTTTAATTATTTAGAGAGGAGCTGTGCTGTGACAATCACCTTTTATTTGGTATTCTAGTCTATTTACAGAGTAAACATCTTCATATAGCCCTTTGCAAAGATAACTGGGACAAGGTCAGTCTCTGAATGAAAGTCCAGAAATCCACATGGAGATTTTAGAAAGTTTCATGGCATGGGGTCTCAATATTAGGCCAAATAACACCCAAAGGCCACCTCAAAGTCCTCTCTGCAGCTTGAAGTTCTTTCAAATACTTTTGTTTCTGTTTTGGTTTAAAAAATAAATTTACCAATATTTCCTCCTCCCCTTTCATGCCTTTCTTAGCTATTCCATTTCTTTATGGCAAATAAGTGAGCCAATACATGTGATACTATTTTAATTTTATTAACTTATTTCTCCTTTAATTTTCCCACTTTATCTGCTGTTCCTGTATCTATTTCTAACAATCTCCACTTTCCCCTTCATCAGAGTAAACCTACAGCCATTCCTACTAACTTTGTTTCTCTAACAAATGTATTCATTTATTTATTTTGTTGTTTTTGTTTTTTATTGGTTGGTTTGTTTGTTGAGGCAAGGGTCTCACTCTGTTGCCCAGGCTGGCATGCAGTGGCTCACTGATCACGGCTCACTGCAGCCTTGACCTCCTGAGTCCAGGAGGTGATCCTCCCACTTCAGCCTCCTAAGCAGCTGGGAACACAGGCATGCACCACCATGCCTGGCTAATTTTTAAATCTTTTGTAGAGATAGGGGTCTTGCTATGTTGCTGTGGCTGGTCTCAAACTCCTGGTCTCAAGTGATCCTCCTCCCTTGGCTCCCAAAGTGTTGTTGGGGTTACAGGTATGAGTCACCACATTCAGCCAACAATTTAAAGCTTCACCTTTATATATATTACTGCATTTCTTTTTATATAGCCTTTTCCATCAGACTGTAGGCTTCTTGAGACAGAACTTGTGGCATTTTTTTTGAAGACACATTTATTTAGATATAACTTACAGTAAAACTCACTTTTTAAATTATACAGTTCTATGAATTTTGATAAATGCATACTGTTGTGCAGTCACCACTACAAGAAGATATAGAATATTTCCTTCAGCCCCTAAATTTCCTTATATCCCTTTATCAATCCCCATCCCCCTTCCTCCACTAAACCCAGGTAACTAACTGCTAATCTACTTCCAGTTCCTACAGTTTTGCCTTTTTCAGAGTTATGTAAACAGAAGCACAAAGTACATAAGGAGTCTTCTGAATCTGGCTTCTTTTTTTTTTTGGAGACAGAGTTTCGCTCTTGTTACCCAGGCTGGAGTGCAATGGTACGATCTTGGCTCACCACAATCTCCGCCTACTGGGTTCAGGCAATTTTCCTGCCTCAGCCTCCTTGGTTTCTTTCACTTAGTGTAATGCATGTGAGATTCATTCATGTTGTTGGATCAATCAGAAGTTTGCTCCTTTTTATTGCTGAGTAGTATTCCATCACATACATGTACTGCCGTTTATCCACATGGCAACTGGCGGATATTTGGATTGTTTCTAGTTCTTAAGCCTGCGCCTGTTTTGTTGCAGCTTTTGATGTGTATACAAAACTGTGTATCTCCAGCATAGAGAATTTCCATATATGTATGTGATGCCTTCCTCTTGCGTATTATCCCAAGCCCCACCTTCTAAAAAAAAATCTCACTTTCATTTATGTGTGTGTTTCTCTATCTTTCTCCTCAGTCTTTTAATACTCTTCCTTCCCTACCCCCACCTGCTACTGAAATCTACATTTTTGTAATACTAACAGCTGGCTTTTGGAAGAAATTTTCTAAAGTAGAATATTTCTTGGCCTTTGTCCTCTTCCCTTTTTTATAGTTCGCAATTTCCAAAGCCCAAAGATAGTGAAAAAAACTCTTTCAACTCATGCAAAATGAGATCGTGACTCAAAATGTTGGACTATATCAGTTAAATATAATTTTTCCCCCAGGCTATAGATCTGCACTGATCTGTAAATGACTTTTAATATGTAAGAGGTCCAAATAAATAATCCCTTCCTACAATAAAAGACTTTTCTCTTTCACTGCTTCCAAAATCCACTCAATTTAAACTCTTGGGCTTGAGTTAAAATTGAAGCTGGCAATTTCAGTTAAAAAAGGTTGTTAGAAACAGACTTCTTTCTTTTTCAGGGACCTTTCTTCAAAGCGGAAAAACTATCTGGCAGGACTCTGAAGTCCCACTTGTGTCACAAGTTGATCTCTACCTTTCAGTTCTAATATTCTATTACTAAGAAAATGGAACATTAGGCTGGGTGTGGTGGCTCATGCCTATAGTCCCAGCTCTTTGAAGGCCAAGATTGCTTAAGGCTAGGAGTTTGAGATGAGCCTGGACAACATGATGAAACCCCACTCTACTAAAATTACAAAAAATTAGCCACACGTGGTGGTGCACACCCATAATCCCAGCTACTCAGGAGGTAGAGTCATGAGAATTGTTTGAACCCAGCAGGTGGAGATTGCAATGAGCAGAGATCGTGACATGGCACTCTAGCCTGGGCAACAGAGTGAGCTGTCTCAAGAAAAAAAATTAAACCTTTCCTTGAGAAAAGTCTGTAAGAAATGCGAGGAGATACAACATCAGGAAAACTTTGGAGATTGTGAAAACCAACACATGAACTATTCATGGGGCATCCAAGACAAACACAGGTAGATCCCTTGCACTCTAAGGATGCAATTCTTGACAAATATTTATTTCCTGGATATTTTCTCTGTACTGTTAGGTGCTGATATACAAAGCTTAAGAAAAACAGTTCTTCACTAAGGTACTCATCTTAAGGTGGCATCGAGATAGAGTTTCTTGATAACTGAGTTTCTAGGTAAAGTAGAAAAGTCTAGGCTTTTGTGTCATTAGAGAAAAGCTGTGTTACTCAGGAAATGGGTGCTCAGAAGCAACCACCAGAGAACACTCCTGCTTATGAGTCTTATTTCTTATTATTGCCTGTTGTTTAATAGGCAATAAACAATAGGCAATAACAAGAAAAAGATTGTAGGGTGGTAGGAGAAGAAGTGACAGAAATCCCCAGCCTCTCATTCTTACCCAAATCTCTAGCTTACCTCAGTGTTTGCCTGCTGATCAAGGTCAAGTTCCTTGTCCTCCAGCTTTTCAATTTGGCCCATTAGGGTCAGCATGTCATTTAATAAACTGCAAACAGACCAAGAAATGGACTAAGCCCTGCAGATTAAGAAAAATCACTCAATAGAGGGGGTAATTTTGATCTTTCAGAACTGAAACACCATTCTCATATAAAAGGATGCTTGGGTAGTGCTTGTATTGCAATGGACAGTAAGGAAATTTAAAAAAGTTAAAAGCACTCTAAGTAATCTACATAATACTAAAGAGATATTAAGCCTAACTGGACACAGGAGCTAAAAATTAAAAGGATTAAAATGTAACTTTATGAAGTTTCTAGAAAAAAAACACACAGAAAATTTGGGGGACAGGATTAGGAAAAGAGTTCTTAGGCTTATCATCAATTGCATAATCTATAAGAGGGAAAATTGCTAATTAAACCTCATCAGAATTAAAACCTTTTGTTTGCCCAAAGATTCTGTTAAATGGATGAAAAGACAAATTACACATGGGGAAAAATATTTGCTTAGCATATATCTGGCAAAGACCTTGTATCTACAATACATAAAAATCTCTAAAAAACATTTTTAAAAAACCTGTCCAATTAGAAAATGAGAAAAAGGCATGCATAGACATTTCACCAAGAGGCTATCTAGATGGCAAATAAACACACAAAAGGATAGTCAAGACTCATTAGCCATTAGAGAAATGCAAATTAGTACTATAATGAGATATCACTACATACTTAACACAATAGAAAAAAAAAGAAAAGAAGAATAGTGTTATAAAATCAAATGCCAGTGAGAGTGTGGAAAAACTAGATCATTCATAAATTGGTAGTGGAAATACAAAAGGTTTCAGCCACTCCGAAAAATTGTTTGGCAGTTCCAGTCAAAACTTAAAACTAAATTATCATGACCCAGCAATTTCTTCCTTGGGTAATTATCCCGGAGAAATGAAGACTTATTTCACATAATACATGCATATTTAAAGCAGCTTTAATCATAATAGCTCCAAACTGGAAATTACACATTTGTCCTTTATTGGATGAATGGTTAAACACATTGTGTAGATTCATATCATGGAAGACTACTCAGCACTGAAAAGGAGAGAAAGATCAACACATGCAACAATTTGGGTAAACCTCAAAAAAATTATGCTGAGCGAAAAAAATAGCCAATCTCAGAAGAACAAACTGCATAATTTCACTTATGTAGCATTCATTAAATAGCATAATTATAGACATGTGGAACAGATTTGTGGTTACCAGGGGTTAGGGATGGGTGGGAGGAAATGTCTGTATAAAGAGGTAACACAAGTGAGTCTTATGAAATGATTCAGCTGAGGATCTGACTGTCATGGTTATGCAAGACTACACAGCTCATAAAATTGCACTGAACTACACACACATGAATGAGTGCATGTATAAACAGTGAAGTCTGAAGAAGCTCTCTGGATTGTACCAATATCAAAATCTTGGTTTTGATGGTGTACTCAAGTTGGGCAAGATGTTGCTATTCAGGAATACTGAAAATAAGGGTTCCTTGTATATGTATTTTTGAAACCTCCTATGAATCTATAATTATTTCAAAATAAAAAGTTAAAAATCAAAATGGAAATATAGGTAAAGAGGGTTAAAAAAGAAAATAGGAGGAGAATTAATAAAGAATGTGACTAGTCTCATATTCACCTTCTAGTTTTTGGTCTACAGATCTCTGCAAACTGTAAAGCTCTCTGGCCCAAATACTTTATAACATTAATTCAGAAGATATTTGTTCAGTATTTACTATGTGATGGGTATTGTGCTAAATGCTGATGATTATAATAGAGAATAGTATAAGCAAGGTCTTCTTCCTTTTGGAGATAATAATGTAATGTGGATTTGCAGGCAGACAAGAAAATCCATTGAGAATATTATTAATGTTTTGGGTACTTCTGCTTTCAATCAACATGGAGTAATAGGAATTGGACTTAGCCTCCTATTTTAAACAATTTTAAAATGGAAAGAATATATAAGACAATGGTTTTCAGATGTTGAACAACAGACAATGCAGGATATGGGCCCCTCACAGGTGAGATTGACTCTTTAGTTACTTCAGATTACTCCTGGAAAGAGTTTCTGAACTTCAAGTCAGAGAAAGGGGATTCAGGAGAAGGCTGGTGGTCTCCATGAGTTGAGAAGATGAAGTTAGAAGTTCAAGGAGACCCTAGAGATTAGATTTGCCCAGCAGAGTGCCAGACAGTAGACAGCTGCACAGAGAGGAAGCTCCAGAGATCTTCCCACTTGAGAAAATCCCACTTGGTCCTTCAGCTGAGACACTGATTAGCACACAAGTGTGATTAAACTATTTGAAATGAGAGGGAAATCATAGCAGATTGAAGTGGACAGAACAGTCTCTAAAGATCAAGCAGTGCTGAGAATAATTGCCAGAGCAGAAAACTCTTGTAATACACAAGTTATCAGGTACAATACTCAGAAGGTATTGTTTCAGTAGTAGAGTCATAATAGACCTAGACTAAAGGCTGCTTTGGTCCTGCCTTACAACAATGAAAATCAAGCCTCAAAAGGGTCAAACTACTTCTAAATAACTGTGTTCCAGAATAAAGCTCAAAATTTAAGTGTAAACACAAATGTCTCAAGAATACTCAAAACCAAATGAGGTACAATTTACAACGTCTGGCATTCAATAAAGAATTACAAGACATGCAAATAAGCAGGAAGCTAAAATCGATAAGAAGCTTTAAAAAGGCCAGGTGCAGTGGCTGACACCTGTAATTCCAGCACTTTGGGAGGCCAAGGTGGGTGGATTGCCTGAGGTCAGGAGTTTGAGACCAGCCTAGCCAACATGGTGAACCCCCATCTCTACTAAAAATTCAAAAAAATTAGCCAGTGTGGTGACATGCACCTGTAAACCCAGCTACTTGGGAGGCCAAGGAAGGAGAAATGCTTGAACTCAGGAAGCGGAAGTTGCGGTGAGCCAAGACTGTACCACTGCATTCTAGCCTGGGTGACAGAGTGAGACTCTATCTTAAAAAAGAAAAAAAACTTAAAAAATAGAGGCAGTATTATAAATGATCAGATGATAGAATTATTGATAGATTATTGGTGCCCACCCACCAATAATCAAAGCCAAGTCACCCACCCAACTAATGCTATAAATACAGCTTTAGGAAAAACTAATCTTTCCCTATGAAAGCCAATGCATAAATTGAAAGAAGTGACTATTACACCAAATATACATCAACGTAGGAACCAAAGAAACATGAAAAAGCAAGGAAACATGGCATCTCCAAACAAGTAAAATAATTTTCCAGTAATATCAAATGAAAAGGAAGTCTATGAAATGCCTGAAGAAGAATTCAAAACATTGATATTAAATAAAGTCAGTGAGCTATAAGAGAACACAGGTAAGCACTACATAAAAGTCAAGAAAACAATTCATGCTCTGAATCAAATAGAAATTCTGAGACTGAATAATTCAATGAATGAAATAAAAATACAATGAAGAGCTTCAATAATAGACTAGATCAAGGAAAAGAAAACATTTCTAAACTTTTAAGACAGTTGTTTTGAAATAACCCAGTCAGAAAAAAAAAGAATAAAGAATAAAAAAGAGGCCAGGTGCGGTGGCTCAAGCCTGTGATCCCAGCACTTTGGGAGGCCGAGGCAGGTGGATCACGAGGTCAAGAGATCGAGACCATCCTGGTCAACATGGTGAAACCCCGTCTCTACTAAAAATACAAAAAATTAGCTGGGCATGGTGGCGTGTGCCTGTAATCCCAGCTACTCAGGTGGCTGAGGCAGGAGAATTGCCTGAACCCAGGAGGTGGAGGTTGCGGTGAGCCGAGATTGCACCATTGCACTCCAGCCTGGGTAACAAGAGCGAAACTCCATCTCAAAAAAGAAAAAAAAAAAAAAAAAAAAGAATAAAAAAGAAAAAAGAAAGCCCTACCTGACATATGGGACACCATAAGGAAACCAAATATTTGGATATTAGAAGTTCCAAAAGGAGAAGTGGGCAAAGTCATGAAAAAATACAATTTAACAAAATAATAGCTAAAACTTCCAAAGTGTTGCAAGAGATAAAGACATTCAAATACAGAAAACCTAAAAAACCCCAAATAGATTCATATCAAAAAAAAGTGTTCTCCAAGGCTTATGATAGGCCAACTGTCAAAGTCAAAAAGAGAGAACTCTAAAAACAGCAAAAGTCACATATAAGGGAACACTCCTCAGACTAACATAGGTTTCTCAGCAGAAACCTTATAGGCAAGGAGAGAATGGGATGACATATTCAAAGTGCTGAGAGGAAAAAAACTGACAGCCAAAAATACTATACGTAGCAAAACTATCTTTCAAAAAATGAGAGAGAGAAATAAAGTTGTTTCCAGACCAGCAAAAACTGAGATAATTCATCACCACAAGAAATTCTTAAAGAAATCCTATATCTGGCAGTGAAAGAACAAAATCTACAATCATGAAAACTCACAAAAGTATGAAATTCACTGATGGAATAGATATACAAATGAGAAAGGGAAAAAAGTCAAAGATTACCACTACAGAAAACCATCAAACTGCAATCATAAACAATAAGGGAACAAAATAAGGATATACAAAACAACCAGAAAACAATTAACAAAATGACAGGAATAAGTCTTTACTTATCAATAATAATCTTGAATATAAATGGATTAAATTCCCCATTTAAAAGATACAGAGTGACTGAATGGATTTTTTTTAAATGATCCAATTATATGCTGCCTAAAAGAAACTTGCTTCACTGTAAAAACACATATAGACTGAAAGTGGAGAAATGGAAAAAATATTTCATGCAAATGAAAATCAAAAGCAAGGAGTGGCTATGCTAAGAACAGACTTTAAGTCAAAAACTGTAAAAAGAGACAAAGAAGGGTATCATATAAAGCAAGCAGGAGTGGCTATGCTTAGAACAGACTTTAAGTCAAAAACTGTAAAAAGTGACAAAAAAAGGTATTATATAATGATAAACGATCTAACAAGATGATACAATAATTCTAAATATATATGCATCCAACACTGGAAGACCCAGATATATAAAGCAAATATTACTAGATCTAAAGGGAGAAACAGACTTCAATACAATAACAGTTGGGGACTTTAATGCCAGACTCACAGCATTGGACATATCATCTAGGCAAAAAATTAACAAAGAAACATTGGATTTGAACTGCACTTTCTGGACTAAATGGATCTAACATTTAGATATTTACAGAACATTTACTGCAATGGCTGCAGAATATACATTCTTCTCATCAGCACATAGAACATTCTCTGTGATAGACCATATGTTAGGCCACAATACAAGTCCCAACAAATTTTAAAACATCAAAATCATATTAAGAATCTTCTCAGACCACTTTGGAATAAAACTAGAAATCAATATTAAGAGGAACTTTGGAAACTATAGAAGTGTATGAAAATTAGACAACATGCTCCTGAATGACCAATGGGTCAAGGAAGAAATAAGGGAGGAAATTAAAATTGCTTGATACAAATGAAAACACAGACCTACCAAAACTTATCAGAGACAGCAAAAGCCAGACTAAGAGGGAGGCTTACAGCAATAAACAACTATATCAAAAAAGTAGAAAGATTTCAAATAAACAATCCAACGATGCACCTTAAGGAACTAGAAAAGCAAGAACACACCAACCTATAAATAACAAGTAACCCAGCAACCCAATTTTCAAAATGGGTAAAAGATAAACAGAATTTCATCCAAGAAGATATACCTATGGCAAATAAGCACATAAAAAGATGTTTAATATCACTAGTTATTAGCTAAATGCAAATTGAAATGCATTTAAATGGTTGCAGTAAGAAAAAGAAGCTGATAATATCAAGTGCTAGTGAGGATGCAGAGCAACTGGAACTCTCATACACTGTTTGAAAGCCATTTTAAAATTATTCAGTGGTTTCTTAAAAATACAAATAATACACTTATGATACAACCCAGCATTCCCATTCCTGATTGTTTACCCAAGAAAAATTAAAATATATGTTCACACAAAATCTTATACATGAATGTTTATGGAATCTTTATTTATAATTGCCTAAAATCCTACATGCTTTTTCCATTGGTGAATGGATAAAATGTGGTATATTTATATAATGGAACACTATCCAGCAATAAAAAGAATCCAACTACTGATACATGCAACAACATGGATAACACTCAAATGTATTATACCAAGGGAAAGAAAGCAGACTCAAAGACTACATGCTATATGACTCCATTTATGTGACATTATGGAAAAGGCAAAACAATAGGGATAGAGAACAGATCAGCAGTTGCTAGCAGCTTGGCCTGGGGAGTGTGGTTAACTGTAGTAGAGCATGAGGGATTTGCAATGAAAAAAATGTTCTATATCTTCACCGTGGTGATGGCACAACTGTATGCATTTTTCAAAACTTGCAGACCTGTATGCTAAATAATATAACTTTACTGTACGTAAATCGTACCTTATTTTTTAAAAATATAATTTATGGTGTTGAATCAATAAAACCACAGAATTTTTTTAAAGAATATTATAAATGCTTTGGAAGTTTTTTTTAAAAAAGCCCATTTTGGATAGGATGGTCAAAAGAAGGCCTCTGTAAAGAGAGGTTTAACTGAAAGGTGAGGAAACAGCTAGGAGAAGAGTAGCCCTGCTGTAGGAAATAGTTTGGATGTAGTAGGAAAGTTCAGAAGGCCAGAGATATTTATTTCTAAGAATAGCTTCCTTTCATTAATAGTTATACACCAAGCCTTGTGTTAAGTTCTTTACATACAGCATTTTACTGACTCTCCACAGTAAATCAGTGAAGTAGCTATTATTAGTTCCCTTTCACAGAAGAAAGTTGAGGCTTTCAAAAGGTTGGTTAATTTATCCCAAAAATGTCAGTATCAGGAATCAAACCTGGGTCCCTTTGACTCCAACGCTCATTCTCTTTATACTGATGTCTAGATAAATAACAATTTATTTTATCCTTTTTTTAAAAATCTTAAACTTTTTCATTTAAATTCAGAGATACACTAGCAAATATACTTTGCATTTTTTTTCTATGACATGCAGGCTGGTTTAGACAATATTGAATAACCCCTGGATGACTGGAGACCTAAAGGCCTTCCTCTGATACTAGTAACACAGACTCAAAGAAACAATGTAGGAGAGAGATCTTCTAGAGATGAGAGAACAAAGATACAGATAACTTGGAGTTAATATTTGAGATGTTGACATTGGCTTCTAATCATAAGACTTCTTGTCCTAAAGACTTTATCATCTTAAGCCCAAAGTTTCTTAAGTTTTTAAAGCTATGAAACTTTCTGCTATTTTATGACTAACCCCTAACACCCTACAATTACCTCTTCACTGTGTTTTCTATTTCATGTATTTTTTAACAATACTTTCAATTTTCTCCATTCCATTTATGTAATCAGCTCCAAGTTCTTTCACTTGGAGACCTATCTTTGTGTTCCAGTAGTTTAGCTTGAGGAGCATGTCCTTTAGACACCTGCAGAAATATTATGATGATCAGTTTCAAAGCAGAAAATGGGAAACAACTCACATAGCCTGAAACACTCTTCCTTTGAATAGCAAGTTGCTCTGTTTAGTCATCCTTGGCCAGATGGATATACAAGCCTCAGGAAAAGAAGTTTGGGCATTTATTTGATATCCGCTTTAACAGATATTTAAAAGACTTGATGAAACAAAGCATATTTTATGTTTAATAAAAAAAAGATATATTTTTAATTTCCCTGTGTGGAATGAATATTAAATACCGATATTAAGACAGAGGTTACAACACGGTGGGGGAGGAGAGGTATACAAAGGGAAAAGACCCAAGGGCTTTACAACATACTCTTAATGATAATGATAGTTTCCTATCTAGAATATTATCTGAGAAGACTGAAATATATATTAATTTCAGGCTTCAAAGAAGAGTTTTCTCTTTCTTTTTTTCCCATGCTCTGTCTATATCCCTAAAATGTCCTTACTCCACATTATTGCTAGATCATGTAGGTAGTTACCTATGCACAGGAGTGCTTTATGGTTCAAGACATAGATGAATTTTAAATCTTCCAGACTTTCCCTAAGTTCTCTGCTTAAATTCCATTTTCCCCTCCACACATTATTAAATGCTTTCTCTTGCATGTGTCAAGGCTTACAATTCAAGGATGTTCTTCTTTGAAAACTGCAGAGATGTAGACGATTGAGAGTCCTCAATATCTGTTCCTTGCTCATCTTGTTCACTCAGGTCCTGGTCATGCTCAGCCTCCAGCTCCAACATATCCTGGTAAAAATGATGATGGAAGGAAAGCAGAACAAAAGGCTGCTACAAGATGTGGTGGTTCTTTCAACCCTACCCAATCCCCTTTCTCTGGGATCAAGCATACAGTCGTCTCTGAGACTGGAGCCTTCTGATACATCTGTAAGCTAAGCAGATATGCCCTTCTGCTCTGTCTATAGAGGAAGGCTGGGGCGAGGGCATAAAAAGAATCAGTGTCCACATGCAGAGCTCTTTTCAGTCCTGATGAGTAATTGAATTCCATCTGACCATGGACTCCAACATTCCACTCAAATTAGATGACTGTTCTGGTCTATTCAAAAAACAATCAATGTCATAAAAAAGAAAAGGTGGTGGGATTATTCTATATTAAGAGAGTCAAAAGAGATATGAAAAACACACATGTCGCATAGACCTTTTAGGATGCTGGTTTTAAAAATATGGCTGTAGAGGACATTTGGGGAGCAATTAAAGAAATTAGAATGTTGAGAGAATTAAGATTAGTATATTAATGCTAATTTTTCCAGATGTAATAACCGTATTTTGTAGCAAAAAGTTTTATTTTCAGAGATGCTTTTTGAAGTAAACAGAAGTGAGGTATCATGCTGTCTTTGACCTACTTTTAAATGGTTCAGAAACTTTCATCTATTTATATGTATAAAGATAAAGCCAATGTGACAAATGTGAAAGATTTTTAATCACAGGTGTGGGAATATGGTTAACCATTGCATAATGCTAAGTTGTCCCTTTATTTAAACTGTTTCATATCAAAGATTTTGGGGGAAAAAACCTACTCTATCAGTTTGATCAATAAAATTACTTGTTTCTATATTCTTTCCCTTGTTCTGGAAAAACATCTAAGGCATGTTCTTGCATTTCAAGTCTCTGCATGCAAAAATGGACAATAATTTATCCTTGAACACTTCTTTAATAACTATTTATAAAATATTTCTTCTGTCCTTTGAAGAAGTTTGATCTGAATTTCCTGTGTTTAAGCAGAAATATTTTTTTAATTGTACTTTAGGTTCTGGGGTACATGTGCAGATCATGCAGGATTGTTGCACAGGTACACACATGGCAATGTGGTTTGCTGCCTCCATCCCCCGTCATCTATGTTTGGCATTTCTCCCCATGTTATCCCTCCCTGACCTCCCCAACCCCCTGCTGACCCTCCCTTGGCCCCCCCAACATACCCCAGTGTGTGATGTTCCCCTCCCTGTGTCCATGTGTTCTCATTGTTCAACACCCACCTATGAGTGACAAGATGTATTTGATTTTCTGTTCTTGTGTCAGTTTACTGAGAATTATGGTTCCCAGATTCATCCATGTCCCTGCAAAGGACACAGACTCATCATTTTGTATGGCTGCATAGTATTCCATGGTGTATATGTGCCACATTTTCCTTGTCCATTCTATCGTCAATGGGCATTTGCATTGGTTCCAGGTCTTTGCTATTGTAAACAGTGCCGCTATGAACATACGTGTGCATATGTCATTATAATAGAATGATTTTTAATCCTTTGGGTATATATGCAGTAATGGGATTTCTGGGTCAAATGGAATTTCTATTTCTAGGTCCTTGAGGAAGCGCCACACTGTCTTCCACAATGGTTAAACTCAGAACTATTTTTAAACTGGAAGGAGAAAAGTTTGGAGGAGGGAGAATAGATCAGTCTCTTTTTTAAATGTCTGTGTAAACTACCGGCCAAGTCAATAGAAATAACTAACATTCATGTAACTCTTTACAAATTACTTTCATGTGCATTATTTATTTTCATTCTTGTGTGGCCATTTGTGTTTAGTGACTTGCCCAAGGTCATACAGTATAGAGAGTTGAGTGGTGGCCCCAAACAGGAAGGTCCATGTCCTAATATAGAACTAGGACCCCATGCATATTATTTTATTTAGAAAAAGAGTCTTTGCAGATGTAATTAAGAATCTTGAGATAAGATCATCTTGAATTACTTGAATGGGTTCCTAAATCCAATGACAAACATCCTAATGAGAGACAGAAGAGGAGAAGACACAGACACAGAGAAGAGATGAAGGATGTGAGGATGTGAAGATGTGAGAATGAAGACAAGAGACCAGAGTTATGTAGCCACAAGCCACTGAAGGCCTGGAGGCCCAGATGCTTGAAGAAGAAGGATTCGGAAATAGCTGAATTCTATTGGAAGACAATCTGTGAGCAGGGGGTGATTTTTATGTATGGTCATATGGTGATTTGCTCAAAGGTGAGAAATGTCACAGTTGTTTCATTAATTCCAAAGGATAAAAATAACATATAATTCACTTTTTTTTCATGGGAAGGCTAGTAAGGGCCTCATACGGTAACAGCAGCATCCAGTAGAAACAATGTCATCCCCTGCATCCCTCTTAGTTCCAAGCTCTGAAGTTCTGCACCAATTAGGAGGAAACCCTCAAACAGTTTCTTACCACTTTGAGATACACGGTGTGAAGTTCTTCTCTTCAACCTATTGTGTCATTTAACTGTCTCTCTTACCCATTTTTAGTGTCTACCTTGTGAAGGAAGTCAGTTTGAGGGTTTTCAGAGGTAACGTCGTCCTCATGATCTGATCTGTCTAAGATGTGGTCCATTTCGATAATTTCCTTTAGCAAACTGCAAGCCACACAATCCAAACAGAGGCTGTTATTATACTCTTGGGCCAGAGCTTGGGGCTGCCCTACTCCTTTCCAAAGGGAGAACACTGAGAACTTTCCCAGCCCCAAGGAGCACCTGCTATCCTTGTACTGAGTTCTTTCTGTGTGAATAACATCTCACATAATATATCTCATAAAGTAGAAACAGAAGGGCTGGATAAGTAATAATTGGCTGAATCCATAAAGTATTTAACAGTGAGATTCTAAATTCCAAAGTAACTGCAGCTCTGCGCATATGTATGCATGAATGATTGTGCAAAATCAACAAATAAGCAAATTAATACCCTGTTTTAAAAAGTGGAGTTTAAAAACATTGTATGGTTAAATCATGGGCAGTGAAGAGTAGGTCTACAATGCCCTCTTGATCTCCACCCCCAGCTGTCTTCTCCACAATGTTTATTAGCTTCTTCTTTATTCTTAACAGAGATTCTATGCACAAATAAGCAGAGATGTTTACATACGCATGCATCTATATCTATATTGATCTCTCTATATATTACAGAATAGACCCTTTAAAATATATTTAGGGGGTATATTTATATAGTCTATTCTGTGCATAAAAGTACTTTGAATTTCTTGTTTAATAACCTATTTTGGAGTCCATTTCATATTAGTACATACAGAGCTCCTTCATTTTTAAAATGGCTACATGGTATTCCATTACGGGGCTGTATGATAATTTTCCAATTAGTTTTATTAACAGACATGTAGAATTTTTCCAATCATTTGCTATCACAAACAATGCTGGAATGAATATCCTTACATCTATATGTTGTTGTTGTGTATGTGTGCAGCATATCTATTCAATAACCCTACAAGTAGAACTTCTAGGTAAATAGATATGTATATTCTAAATTTTGATAGATTTTAATCAAAATATGCTTTAAAGAGGTGGAATCAAGGTACACTCTCAGCAAAAATGGTAAGAGTGCCTGTTTCCCACTCCTGTCTAAAACCATGTGCTACTGAAGTTTTTGATCCTTGCCGCTTTGGTATGTTGAAACTTGTATCTCATTTTGGTGTTAGTCTCATTTTGTGTGAGGTTGAGTATCTTTACCTATGTGTATAAAACTCATTTTTATTTCATTTTCTAAAATAAGGGTGCCGATAGCCTTTGCCCATTCCCTACCAGACTGTTGTTATTAATATTTTGCTGAAGAGCCTATATGTTCTCTCTCGTATGCTTTCGAAAGGGTCACAGTAAATGTGTGATACGTGTCTATAAATGTAGTTCCCAGTCTACGGGACTTGAACCCCGAGGGTGGAGGTGTTGTCAGGGTCCAGAGAGAGTCACTTCATATCCATCCTGCTTAGAAGGGGATCCTAGAATCTATGAAGATTTCTATAGACTGAATAAATACGGTGTATATGAAAAGCTGCCCAAAGTTTTCAAATGCATATGATACTATCTTCAATAACTTATAAATGCATTTAAGAACATCTTTGATATCATAGTAGCTTTCTTGCCATATGAGGGGTTCTTGGAAAATAGTTTTCCTTAAAAATGTTTTCCTACTTAAAAAGGTTGTTAATCACAGCTAAATTAGTATGCATTTTTAACATGGACTAGCAAATGTGTATATGGGTTTATACCACTGTTTGTATTCCGTCAATGCCAGAAAGTATTTTAAATGGCTTAGATCTTTAGCAGGTAAAGAGAGTGAAGCCACAAAACAATCAACATATTTTCCCAGGTTGAGATTAGCATCTGGACAACTTTTTAAAATGGGTATCTGGCCAGTTTGTGACTGTGGGCCTCTTTAGCTTCTCCAAAGGCCTACTATAGTAAATATTCCTGAGATAAAAATGCGATAAATTATAGGAAAGACTGCCAACCTAGACCCTGAACCTGGAAATATCATCATTTGCATACCACTGGTTCAAGAATATCTACAGTTGGGACCCTAGAAACTGCTTCTGCAAGCTCAGTTCTGACTTACTCCTGCATTGCGCCTTTAGTCTCATTGAGCTTTTGGAAAAAGCCACTGTTTTTCTCAGTCAACAGTTGTTCCTGGCAGTCCATCTTCATCTGCAGAGACACTTCCTCATTTAGATTTGTGGGCATGAGAGTCATTTCCCTGGCACTGTAAGGACAATAACCACAAAAAGAAGGATTTTACGGCAGGATTGGCAACCACATCCTCTTGGCTGACACCAGCTGACGTCTTCCTCAGGGCGTCTGGCTTGAATTTATACCCTTCCAAACAGGCTGTTCATTGTAAGGGACCCCAAAGCAAGCTCTTAGGTGTCTCTTCTCAAGTATATATGAGAAAGTCCTGTGTGGTTATCTCCAAGGACACACCTCAAGAGAAGTGTCTAAGCCGGTAAATGTGCATTTTGAATGCTCAAAGGAGAATACAACAGAGGAATATACAATAACCAGCCTGGAAGAATAGGAACTTTCATTTTTATAATCTCTTTCTGGTTATATAGTAATACGCATATTGTAAAAAGTAAAAAAGGCAAAAGAAGAAAGTAAAATCATTGGTACTTCAGAGTAACCAGAGATAACCCCAGAGACATCCAGACTTAAGCACTGTTAATATTCCAGTACGTTTTATTTCTGCTTCTAAATTTGGTGTTTGTTTTATTCTTTTCCTATTGTTGAAACTAGGTTATTTCTAATTGCTCAGTAGTATAAGTAATGCAGTAATGAATATCTTTGTTTAGTAATTTTCAGTGCACATCTAATTACTTAAGATACTTCCTTAGAGGTGGAATTACTGGGTCAAAGGGGTTTGCCCACATTTTTAAGGATTTAGACAAATATTTCCAAATTGCTTTCCAAAAGGTTTAACTAATATACACTAGCATCAGCTGTATCTAAGAACAGGAACCTTCATTCCAGTCTGATAGGTAAGTGTTCTCTGGAGAGCAGAGGAGTGAATCACTGGAGTACTTAAGTAGCATGAAAAATAACACGGAAAGGAGACAGGAAAGAAGGTGGAGACATGTGAGATAGGCTCTGAGAAGCTCATATGAAAAGCTGTAGGGAAAGGATAGATGCAAAACATAACTCCTAATTATACGAAGAAATCAGTAGGGTGCGTCCAGGCCAAACAGGAAGAAACTTTCTCTTCTGGATATTCAAGTGAGTGATAGCAATAGATTGGCCTAGAACTAGAGGGTGGCGTGGCTCCCAGGACCCTGAGGGACAGAGGGGATGACAGACTCATGGGAAGAGAAGACATTTTTCTGCAAGGGTGATTTATAACTAGGACTAGCAACCAGGAGGAAGAACCGGGAGGAGGGAGGCCCTGGGAATCAGAGATGTTAAAACTATTTGGACACACATGGCTTGGTCAATCATTCTGTGGCAGAATTGAGCTTTGTTCTTGACCTGTGTGGTATAAACAGGGCCCCTGTGAAAGAGAAACATGAGGACAGAACTAGAACCTTTGATGGTGATGGCGCCATTCTTTTTAACTTTGAATGTGACAAAGAATAAACCTTTGATCTCCCTCACGAAGGTCACTATGGCCTGCCAATTTTATCACAGCCCCTATCTGGACAGTTTTGTCCATTTCCTGAAGGTGTTGAGCGTTACAAAGGGAATTCTAAGCTCTGAAAGGCGAGCCGACACTGAAATCGGACTTGTTTACTATTTTTCTGGTCCAAAAAATAGAATACCATAAAAGTAATAAAATTTTCTTATTTTGACAACACTCTGACCTCTATCTCAATGGCTTCCCCAAGAGTGATTTCAAAGAAAATATGCTCTGTCAATTCAGACACCTACCCAAATTCTGCCTCCATACATTCTCTCACATTTTATGTAACAATTAAAATCCTAATAATGGCTTATGTCTGTGCAGCCCCTTACAGATTACAACATGCCTTTCACATATTTTCTCATTCAGTTCTCACAACAACATGATACAGAGGGTATTATCCCCATTTTATGCATGTGATAATGGAGCCTCTCAGAGATGATGTGATTTACTTACAGTCAGATATAAGAAGTAAAGCCAGGACTCAGAGCTTCCATGTCCTCACAGCTACTGATAAAAAGATTTTTCCCACCTCCCACCTCCAAAGATGACCTAGACCAGGGCTCTCCAATAGAACTTTCTGTGTTGATGAAATGTTCTCTACACTGTTCCATACAGGAGCTACTGGCCACATGTTTCTACTGAGCACTTGAAATGTGGCCAATGAAACTAAGGAACTGAGTTTACAGCCATATGTGCCTAGCGACTACCATATTGGACAATTCATAATTTTCTTTTCTTTTCTTTTGAGACAGAGTCTTGCTGTGTTGCCAGGCTGGAGTGCAGTGGCATGATCTCGGCTCACTGCAATCTCCACCTCCTGGGTTCAAGCGATTCTCCTGCCTCAGCCTCCCTAGTAGCTGGAATTATAGCCACGCACCACTACACCCAGTTAATTTTTGTATTTTTAGTAGAGACAGGGTTTCATTATGTTGGCCAGGATAGTCTGGATCTCCTGACCTCATGTTCTACCTGCCTTGACCTCCCAAAGTGCTGGGATTACAAGCATGAGCCACCACACTTGGCAGACAACTCAGAACTTTCTAGAGCAAGGATCATCAAACTGTGGCCTACAGGCGAAATCCAGCCTGCCACCTGTTTCTAGAAATGACATTTTGTTGCAACACAGCCACACTTATTCCTTTACAAAGTGTCTATGACTGCTTCTGCACTGCCATGAGAGAGTTGAATGGTTGCAAGAGAAATCATTCGGCATAGAAAGGCTAACTGTTTACTATCTTGCCCTTTACGGAAGAAGCATGCCAACCCCTGTTCTAGACTATGACCTTCTCCTATGATGCTTGGTGTTTGCTACAATCAGTTGAAAGCAGTAAATAAGAGCTAAATTGGAAAGTCAGCTGAGTTCGAATTCTAGCATCAACACTTCACAGCTGGGCATCATCTTATTTTATGGGGTGGGGGGGGGCTCATTTTTTCATCTGTGGAATGGGGCCAACATTAGTAATACTAATATTATTAGAGATGTGAGGAGTAAAATTGCACTTAACATGGTATCAGGTAAATAGCAAACACCTGCTAATGTTATCAATTTATTAAAATATAAGCAGTGGAAATGGGAGCAATTAGTAAGGTTTGTTTAACTTCAAATAACACAGTCATAAAAGCAATGCTTACACACATGCAGCACTTTCAGTTCATAGGGCACTTTCACTAAGCTGTTTCTTCTGACGCTCACAATTACCCTATGGTTAGCCAACCATGGCAGATCTCATTATGGCAGATCTCATTACCTCTATTTTGTCAGAGGAAGAAACTGAAACACAGAGATGACCCAGGACTTGTCCAAAGTGTTATTGCTAGAAAATGGTAAAAATCAGGACGGAAACCTGCAAATTCTGAAGTTTTGCAATCATCTATTATAGTTATACTACTATTTATAAATAATGCATAAAATCAATGCCCAGTATGTCTTAATGGGTTGGTTAACAGCCGTCTTACCTCACAAACAATCCATCTTTTGAAGCTAACATTTGATTAATTACATAGTGCAAGTCCTTACTACTCAAGTGTGTCTGCAGCCCAGCAGCCTCAGCGATTCCAGGGAGTTTGCTAAACATGCAGACACTAGGTCCCACCCAGACTCACTGAACCAATGCCTGCCTTTTAGCGAGATTTCAGGTAATTCATACACATATGAAAGTTGGGAGTTACTCACACTCTAGATCTTTAAAAATAGACTCCCTCTTCTTCTCCCTACACCTCTTGTCTTCATTCCTGTATGTTTATACCATTGGCTTTCTAGGATTGTTTGTTACAACTGGAGGGAATCCCTCCTCCTTCCCCCATGCCCTATAAAAGCCTTTCAAATTACACATTTGGAGAAGCACAAGTCTGAGTCAAAAGGAGCAATCAATTATTTTAAAAGACAGTTGATGTAATCACTTACATTGTGAGGGGATTGTGATCCTGTTCCAGTGGTGCTATAGCCTCCTTTCCTCAACACCGAAGGCAGAGAGGAAGCCATTTAAGAGTGGTGAACACCAAGGCAGGTAAGTGTGTGGTTGGACTTTCCCTTTATGACATTCCTCTTGGAATGCGGTGCATGCAATCCCCTCTCACAAGATTCTAGGTGTGCAGTGTTCTTCTGCCTGTCTTCTACCTGGCACATCTTCACCATCTTCCAGGACCTCAGGGACAGCTACACATTTCCCACTGTATCACATCCTCTCCTATTATTCTTGGTCAACTCGGCACCCATGGGAAGGGCCTAACAGTCTGACCTTACAAGTCCTAAGCCCCTGCTCTTAAGACATTCCTCTTCACCTACCAAAAACATTCACCACAATGGAGATGAAATACAGAAGTTTTTAAAAACATAAACTTTAGAATCACATCAGTGTTTGAAACCTGGTTTTGCCATTTATTAGCATTTTGGTTTGACTCAAAATTTAATCTCTTTTTCTGAAAAATTGGTTTACTAAGATCTACCTAATTGGTTTGTTGAGAAGTTAAAGGCACCAGGTGAGGAGGGAGTTTCAGGTAGAGTGGATGACACACAGTAGGTGCTCAAAAAAATGTTGTCAAAGGAATGGAATGAATGCATAAATAGTTGTCATGATTTTTTATGGCAATATCTTAGGTCTCGTTATCACCCTGGGCATTTCCTCAGACAAAACTCAAGTTCAGATGTGTCATCTTTCTTCCTGTAGTCTATACTGCACGCTTTACCTAGTGAGGAACCAGATTCCAACAACAGCCCTCCCACAGTCCCTGCTGGGCTAGTATCCAGCCTGCAGTCCCCACCTTACATCATGACTATTTGCTACCTTTGGTGTCCTGCATGACCTCATATTTCATTAAGAAAAATCACAAAATTCTTAAATGACTAGTTCCATCACAAAATAATCACATCATAGTATAGCTACTACTTACTGAGTGATTACAGATGTGCCAGGCAGTTCTCCAAGTGTTTTACATATATTACCAATTTAATTCTTACCACCTTTTGAAAAGGAAGGGCTCTTGCATTTAAACCCAAATCCAGTTAGTCTGGTTCCAGGGACCATGCCCGAAAGCACCATTGTGTAGACCACACTTCAGATTGGGTTATCACAGTTACTCCGCCAAACTCTTCTCTCTCTCTCTTTTTTTTTTTCTTCTTTGAGATGGGGTCTCATTCTGTTGCCTAGGCCGGAGTTCAGTGGCACAATCATGGCTCACTGTAGGTTCAACCTCCTGGGCTCAAGCCACCCTCCCCTCTCAGCCTCCCAAGTAGGTGGGACTACAGGCATATGCCACCACACCTGGCTAACTTTTGTATCCTTTTGTTTTTTGTAAAGACAGGTTCTCACTATGTTGCCCAGGCTTGTCTCAAACTCCTAGGCTCAAGCAATCCTCCTGCCTCAGCCTCCCGAAGAGCCAGGATTATAGAGATGAGTCACCGCGCCCGGCCTCTTCTGTGTCTCTGGTTGACTCCAAAATATATGGGTCCCAACAGCTGGTTTCTGTCTTCCTCAGCTTCCTTCCACGCTGGCCGCCTCTGAATGCTGCCAGCTCCCTCTGTGGGCAGTGACCTTCCCTCTGCCTTACTGCACTGATCAAGGCCAGCTGATGAGAATCTTCCCTCCACTGCCAAACAACAACTTTGTGTGGCCTCTTTTGCATTCAAAATATCCCTGTGTTTTCCCTTACCGTCTCCCACTCCCCTTTGATCTCAGAGAAAGCACCTGTCCACTCTCTCCTAAGGCGCCCTTTGTTCAGACCCTTTTTGGTTCTTGGGGATTCTGTTCCACTAATTATAAACACTGTTTGCAACTTCAAAACTTCTTTTTGAGTGTCTCTGCTGGCATTCCACGGGGAACTCCCAATTTCTTTGAGGAAACAGATGTATAAATATACTTCTGACATCCTCAGGCTCTGCCTCTGCTCTGTTGCTTTGCCTCTGTATGCAAACCTGCTTCTGTTTTCTCTCTTTCAGGAAAAATAATTTCTTCACTCTGTATTTGAGCTACCATCTTATATCTCTCCTTCTTTTTAATAAAGATGTCTCAGAATTTATCATAACACATGGCTCATTACATATTCATATTTTAACTGCTTGTGATATAACGTGTTTCTTGCAAGCGTTTTTGGGGGGATTTTTGTGTTTGTTTTTTGCTTATTTTCATAGTTTTAGAGACTTTAGTCATCTAATTTCCCTGGGGGGGGGGGGCGTGAAAACAGTGCATTTGTTTTTCACAGTTATTTGACCCAGAGCCTTTTCTGTGCTCAAAGCTCTGTGTTTAATGGATCGTGCTCTGGGAAACTCTTTTTAAGGATTATAGAGAAGCCGGGCACAGTGGCTGATGCCTGTAATCCTAGCACTTTGGGAGGCTGAGGCGGGTGGATCACTTGAGGTCAGGAGTTCGAGACCAGACTGGGCAACACGTTGAAACCCCATCTCTACTAAAAACACACAAAAATTTGCTGGGCATGGTGGTGAGCACCTGTAATCTCAGCTACTCGGGAGGCGGAGGCAGGAGAATCGCTTGAACCCAGAAGGCAGAGGTTGCAGTGAGCCGAGATCACCACTGCACTCCAGCCTGGGCAACTCGAGTGAGATTCTGTCTCAAAAAAAAGAAAAAAAAAAGATTATAGAGAATGCAAGTAAAGTTCCCTGCCTACAGGAAGCATTACAAACAGCAGCAACCACAATCACAGGGCATCACCGTATTGCATCTTGGATCTCGTGACCTCGACCTTGACAGCTTTCCTGAACCACCTCTTCACATCCAGTGTTGTTACCTCTTGGTGCTACAGAAACAGACTTCCTCCCAGGCCGGCAGCTGGGTCTAACCCCAACATCTGCTCCACTCCAGCAGAAGGGTTGATGTAGTCCCAGCTTGTCCCACCTGCTGCCACCACCAGGCCACCCCCTGCCCAGAGTCCTGAGACATGACACTGAAGAAGGGTGTGGGATCCCAGAGAAAACCCTAAGCCCTGAATGTGTTAGCAAAAGGCTGAGGGCCCAGAGATTTCAGGAAGTAAACTTAGAGAGGAGTATATATATGTTGATTTATATTCCCCACAGGAATCTAAACCTTTTAACAAGCGCCTTTCCCTGGAGGGATTTGTAATATTTTAATTTACTCTCAATTATTGTTGTCAAACTAGCAGTTAATTAGGCTGCTGGTTTGAATGTGCCTCTTTTTAAACTCTGCCAGGACAGACCGATACCACCTGCACACTACTGAATGTCTCTAAGCTTCCCTTCTCTCATCAACAAAATGGGGAAACAATAGCTACCTTGCAGCTTACTGTAGGTATGCAGTGGGTTAATTGTACAGAAGCTCCTGGAATACAGTAGGCATTAAAAAAAGAAGTGTCGGTCTGGAGGAGTCAAATACATAAACCTCAGGTGGCGAAGATTTTGACCTTTGGGAGAAAGAGAACATTATTCATTCTACATCTGGAAAGTCCCTGGCTTCTAGCCCTTTAGTAAAATGATAAAAATCACTGTTTTTAAGGAAATTGAATTCAGAAAAAGAAAAGGAAAGATAGGGAGTAAGGGGGCGGCGGGGGAAACTGTGTCATTTCCTATGACATTAAAGAAAGTTCTTGGAAACTCTCCCATTAGACTCTAAGCAAGAGTGATGTCAGAGCTGAATCTGTAGAAATTGTTAGCACGTTGAATGAGCAAGATTAGGGCAGGTAGTGTCCTAAACAGTGATTTTATTACAACAAAACAGTGATTTTTATCATTTTACTGTGTTGCTTTTCTAACACCTTTCAAGAGTTTTGCTATAGGATTGTAGAAAAAGAATTATAGAAAAAATGCCTACAGAAGGGTCGTGTGGCTTTTCTAACACTTTCCAAGGGTGTCATACACTAAAAGGGGCCTGAATCAAATATTGTTCTGATGAATGAAGAATAGAGAAGAAAGCTTTCCAGGGAGGGGGAATTGTCTTAAATGCCAAGGTAAGGGATTTACATTTATATAGAAGTTAATGAAAAGAAAGTTTGTCTGACAAATTGTGCTGTACAAAATTAATTGTAATTCAATGAATGTTTTAACCATTTAAACAGAAGAGAAGGCAACGATGGAAGACATTTATATAAATAAATATTCATCATCAGATCCATACAGCCAATTCTCCTTATCCCTGGGTTCTGTGGATCCAAAATATTTTAAACATTATCCTAAGTGAACTAACACAGAAACAGAAAACCAAATACTGCATGCTCTCACTTATAAGTGGGTGCTAAACATTGAGTATACATGAACACAAAGAAGAGAACAACAGACACTGGAGCCTACTTGAAGGTGGAGGGCAGGAGGAGGGTGAGGATTGAAAAACTACCCATTGAGTATTATGCTTGTTACCTTGGTGATGAAATAATCTGTACACCAAGCCCCTGCGACATGCAATTTACCTGCATAACAAACCTGCACATGTACTCCTGAACCTGTAAGTCAAAAAATATTTTAGACAATATAAAATAATAATACAACAATAAAATAATAAAAGTTTAAAAACAATACAATATTTACATTATCTTAGGTATTAGAAGTAAACTAGAACTGATTTGAAGGATAAACTGGAGGATGTGCACAGGTTATATACAAATACTACACCATTTTATGTCAGGCACTTGAACATGGGGGCAAGGTGGTTCCTGGATTTCAGAAGAGGAAAGAAAAGGGAAAAGACAGGAAGGCAGAGGAGCCCATTGGCAGGAGGGAGTTATCAAGCATTTCTGTGCCAGGGCTGACTTGGTCATGCCATACCCTTGCCCAGAAATCGTGTCTTCCTTTCTAAAACCTGGCATGAAATTGATGTAAGATGTGTGAAGGTAATGCTTCATTTATTTTTAACAAAAAATTAATTTATAAATAGAATACTATGTGCTTAAGTTAAATTTAGATTTAAAATTAGGTTTTTAAATTTATAATTTAAATAATTGTTATTAATTTAAGCACAAGCAGATACAGTTAGTGTTTTCTGCATTCAAAACCTTTTCTTAGATGTTTAACAATGCAACTGAAAGCAGATGAGAAAAATGGAGATATTGAGGAAGCCACAAATAG